AGAGGAATCCCCTGAAAATACACTACAGCCTTGTGGTTGTCAAAGGGAGAAATCTGCAACACCTCTGTAGTCTTCAATATCTGTTGGACTTCTTCACCTAGTCTCTCCCAATCTTTTACTTTCTTGTTTACCGAGAGGACAAGTTTAACCTGCCAATCCTCTTTAGGTTTGTTCACCCACAATTTCACCAAACCTAGTCCAGCATCAATCTGCAATTTACTTTCCGTCCCTATCTCCTCTCCTGGGATCTCCCTGAAAACTTTCCCTGACTGCCCTTCAGATTGTTCCTTAACTTTTTGACCATCTTTTAGGGCACTTTCTCTGTCATTAGTTACCACCATAAACYCCTGAATTGCTTCTGCTAACTGGTCCCATCCCGAGGCCTCCCTTCCTTCAGGGAAACAGGTAAACTGCTTCAGCCCCTCACCAAAGTGTTCCTGCACTCCCAAAAACCTCCACTCCCTTGATTTTTCTGTTATTTTAGCTCAATCGAGAACTCCTTGGAACCATGGTACGCCCTTCCTTCGAGAAGCAAAGAAGCTTTCATCAATTCTACAATCTTTAGAGAGAGTCCATTTCTAGTCCAGATTTCTTCCAAGATGAAAGTCTTCGCTTCCACCTTCAACACTTTCTTCCATTTTTTTGCTCGCAGGAACTGACCCTCCCTCCCTCCCTCTTTCCAAGCTTCCCCCGCCGACCTTCATGTTTTTCATAACTCCATGCAGTTTGCTGATCCTAAGACTGCATGAGTTTCATGGAAATCAGTAGTTCTTGTAAAAGCATAGACATGTAAAGCACCAGACACCAGAGACAGACGGGCCCAATGACCAGCTTCAAGGTTCAAAGGGTAGCTATATTTTGGAGCCAATGAGGGACAGAAATGCAAGAAATAATTAATGACTAAGAACAAAATATCCATTCTCTTATTTAGTCATGGTGGATGATTTATTGAGGGATTGGTGGGAAATTGTAGATTTTTCTATTTGAAGTTGGCCAAGAACAATGGAATGGATTCTGGAACAGGCAAAAGCACTGTACATTTTGATAATTGTAGTTTAGGCAATATCAATAAAAAAATTGTAGTTTAGGCAATCCAGGTGCATTTGCTATAGGGAACACTGTTGGAGATGATGGGGGTAAAATCATGAATCACGATGCCAATCTTCCATTAAATGCCCATTCCTAATAGTTCTGGATGTTGATTTGGTATCACTTCCTGAATTGTTTTATTTTCTTATTTTGCTTTTTTGAAGATAGATAAAGAAGAATCTTACTCATAAAAAAGCACAGTACATCTTCTCAGTGACAATGAGTCACCAAACATCAGAAAAAGAGAAATTTAAAATAAAAAAGCACAATCACTCACTAATTGAATCACAAATTCAAAATACAAAAATCAACTTAGTCATTCAAGACTCTACATATTTTGTCTCCAAAGTCTTCTTTACTGAAACCTTCAAATTCTGGAAGAACTAGAACCCATCCAACTATCTTCAAATTGATTAACGCCTCTACGTCTTCATTGCTTTTCCTTTTCCCTTCAAGTATTCTTCTGTTCTTTCCTTCCAAACCACCCAACACACCGCAAAGGGGATGCAACTCCAAATGATTTTTGTTTGGATAAATTTATAGCATGTTGATAGTGTAAAGTGGAGCTACGCCCGGTTGTAAAAAAAGATATTGGAATGGGATTATTTTAGGCTTTCAAGAGATGAAGTCAGTTTAGTTCCTCAGGGTGGGAATTTGTAAGCAAAAGAAGAAACACTATAGGTCACTAGCTGAGGCTGTCTACCTATTTTGTGGTGCATGGCAGTTTGGATTATACTTCCTGTTATATATTTTTCAATAAAATTTTCTGCTTTTGATAAAAAAATATTGTCTCCCATAAAAAAATCATGCATCTTATTTTAACAACTCAAATGAATGTGTTTCTAGTTTTTGAAGGTGTAGATTGGAAACTTAACATGCTATTTGAAACTACACTGTAAGTGGTTCAATTTCATGTGATGTCCAAATGGGCTATAGATAAATTATACCATGCTAGTCCTAATGTACTTGATGTTGATATTTTCTGGTAAAAAATATTTTCCTTGGTATCACTTATTTTCATGGGCATTATGCTACACATATTGAGGCTGAGTGCAGACCATGTTTCAAAGCATCGATAGATACTCTTGATATATACCTATTACATCAGGTATTGGATCTTCATATTAAGTGTATTGGTAACCCTGAAAACTGGTACAATACTCCCTGCATTGTGCATAACGTGTTGATATTTGAACCTTGGTGCAGATTGCATTGTAGGGCTGCAACTTGGGTTTGGTTTGCTCAAACCCTATCCAACCCAACCCAGAAAACTTGGGTTAGGTTGGGTTGAACTGTTGAAGTTCAGTTTAGGGATGGGGTTGAAAAGTATGAGTGAGTGCAGCCCAACCTATGTGTGTATTTAAGCATGTGTCTATGCATGCAACTGTGCATCCATAAATGTATGTATATGTGCATGCCAACAATTTTAAGGCAATTTTTTTGCAAAGCAATGATAAAAATGTCTAAAACTGAATTGAGAAGTTGGGAAGTTGGGCACTTAGGCCAATCYGACCCCAATCCTCTTACTCTTAGGGATGGGGGTTCAATAACTCAAGTTGGGTTAGGGTTGACCTTAACCTGACCTAACCCAGCTCAACTTGCACCCCTACTACAGTGTAATGGGCCATAACTTGGTCAAATCATGTTCAAATAATATAAACCAGGCTTGTTGGATAGATGGCTGACTAAGCTAAATGTACCAAAGTCATTGCATTTGATCATATGTTGACACAGAAAATAAGAAAATTGATACCCAATGGTGACTCGTATAATATGTCTGATTCCAGGCTTTATAGCCTATCACATATCTTGTATTTTATTTTACATCTTAATGCATTACATTTCCATCGTCTTTTGACCTTGTTTTCATTTCTTCTTATTCCTCTTCTTTTTTTTTTGTTTCATTAAAGTATCATATCATTAGCAATTTGTTTTATTAAGAAAATTCCCTGTTTATTGTGTTGTTTTACTTTTCTCATAAATGCTGATTACTTGTTTAGGCTCTTAACCCCTTTAAGTTTTATATTTCTTGAAACRTGTGTATATGCTGAAACTTTTTGTATTATAGCATTTTTTTTATAATGAATCTTATCTTGTGCAGGAAGCTCGAAAGCGTTTCGACAAAGCCAGCCTTCTTTATGACCAGGTATGTCTTTAATGACTGTTTAACTGTTACGTTTTTTGTTTTTTTTTTTTTACTGATAACAGTGAGAATATTTTATTGATTATGGGTTCAAGATTAAAGAATGAGATATGTACACCAAAGAGGCTTGATTCCCAATTTTGTTAGGTTGTTCAGTGCTTCCTAAGCCCAGATTTTACAGATTATGTCACTCAATGCAATAGATTTGCCCAAAATAGTTAAATTTGGTGTACCCTTGTGTTTGGCAATGAACAAGCCAATCAGCTTACTGGTCTCGGGATGCATATTAGTGCACATCTTAGTTCCCTATATTGCCATAGGGCCTGGTTATTGTTTCTTAACCAGCACACTGCAACTGGAGAGTCCCCTGTCACCACCACATTCCTCAGGTGAAGTGATCTGCCCCTGCAAAAGAGATGGTAGTTCTGCTCTTGTTAAGTTCCCAACTCCAATGGGTTCTTAAAACTCATCTTATGCTAGAGTTTCCTTGACTACCATGCTACACCCATCGAAATTGAGTTTGATGAGGTTTGAGGCTGGTAGGCTTCAGTCCACCTTTGCTGTAGGTCTGCTTGAAGATGAGTCCACCACTTTCTGTCACCTCCTAAAGATATCTGATTATCTTTACCTTCTCGGTACTTAATGTTTCTATAATCCAATTATTTCGATTCATTGGTTCTCATTTCTAGAACGTAATGGATGTATTTTGAAGCCACTGTGCTGTTTGCTGCTATAATCTTAAAATCACATTATAACGCTTGATATATTTGCTTTTATTAGTTGTTTCTTCCGTTATGTCATTGAAATGATCAGGATTATTGAAAGAATCGATTACTCCAGGTCCATAGGCCATCTCTAGCCGTTATTTTTAATTGAAGTTTGATCTTATGGAATATGGAATAATAAAAAATGGAAGGATGACAATCAATTCTTTTTCAGAAGGTACCTGAATTGTTCTATTAAGACAGTGGAAGTGTGTGTTTATGGTGCAGAAACCTAGACAAAAAATAGCTCTGGAACCTGCTGAAGAAAACCCATGTAGGCAACTAGGCATTGAGATCTAAATGTGCAACAAAGTCCATTTCATCAATTCAGAACACTAGATAAGCACAATTATCTGGTTTGTCCAGGATGAGCAGAGCAAAACCAAACAAATTCATACCAAGAGGCAGATGAAACAAGCAATAAAGAGAAACCATAAATGGGAACACCATGAAGGGAAGGAGGTATTATAATACAAATTGGTACCATGTGCTCCTTCACTGGGCAACTTTGGCATTGTTCCTTCCTATTTCTGTTCCCGAAGAAATTCCTGTTCCGAAGCAAGAATTTTATTTCTTGTTTTTGAGGAATAACTGAGGCGTTTGGCAATTTATTCTCCGGGAAATCGGGAATAAATTTCTGTTATACAAAAACAAAAACAATGTTTAGATAGTCAATTCAATATGTTATTATGTCAAAGCACACCAAACCAAAACAGAGGCGGAAAAACCAATTGATGAAGGGGGAAACAATAGAAAGATGGAAAATTGGTTGAGATGGAACAAATTTGGGAATGGTAGACACTAAAATAGATTTGGTGTTACCTGAACTGGTTGTCAGAGGAATAGAGGGTGAAAAAGGTGAAACATTCCCTGGTGTCATTGGTGAAAGAAGGTTGCGTGTGGAGCAAGAGATAGGTGGCTACCAAGCATTGATTTAAAAAATCATTCATCAATGTGGGGGAAAAGATGTTGAAACATGGCACATCGATGGTGTTACTTGATGTTGTCACCAGAGAAGAAGAAGGTGATGTCTATGGAGCAAAAGTGCCGGCTGGTCGATCGAGCAAGAGGATGAAGGAAGAAGGCAGTCTGTTGAGAGGTTAGGGCTTATTGGTTGTATGCGATTCTAATTTTTTGTGGTTTTACCAAAATAACCCCATTTCCATGTGAATGAGGTTGACAAGTGTTCGGTTTTTTAAATCAGCGCCTGGGGACATGTTTCTCATTTCCATGTTCCTGAGAAAGAACAATATCCTCATTTCTCAGGAACATGTTTTTGTGTTTCATAGGAATGTTGGGAACAAGTTATTCCATGTGTTATTTTTGTACCAAATGTATTTCTGTTCCATGGGAATGTCGGGAACACCAGAAACGTTCCTGTGGAACGATGCCAAACAGGGCCTTGTTTTCTGACCTCCCAATCCTTTTGAACAAGATATTGACTCTAGAATCATGGCCTCTTACCTTTATTGCCAAATGTCTATGGTCAATCCGTTAAAAGTTACCCCTTAATCCAATTGGGTTAGTTTGATATTTGACATCGGTTTTGGACCCTTGGTGCAGTTTTTATATTTGTTTACCATGTCTCATGACCCTATCATGTGTCTCCTGTCTTATGCTGGTAAGCTTTCCCATACACCTAATGGCTCCAAGTTTTTGAAGGACCAGCCATCAAAACCTGTGCTTCGCTGCTCCTTTTGTGGTGGGGGTCAAACTCTAGGATGTAATCCACTGGCATTTAGGTGATTTCATCATATAGTACTATCCTCAATCATACATTAAAGGAAAATCCTTGAATTTCTTGAGAGTTTAGCTTCTTACTCCACTACAAGGTCAAATTCTGCTTTCTTTGGGCTGGTTTGTATGTGCTAGTAGAAGGTGATTGACTGATTGCAATTGTTTGGCTATATTTGAGCACCGGTGGTCCTGGCTACTCAGACAACTGATAAAGAAGGCAAAAGCATTATCATCGAACATGAACTAGTCCTTCACATAGGTCCACAGATTTTGCTAATAGCATAGCTGATTTGCCATCCATGGAGGGAGTGTCCAGAAATGAGCTAGTCTGGGGCAGGGTTTAGCTTTGTAAATGCTGCCTATTATTTTAGAAAAGCCTAGGCTGTTAGTTTATTTGTCCCTTTTGTTCCAATCAAGTTGATATGGAGGTATTATTTTAAATTGCATTAGTAAATTCTGATTATAGAGAGGAAAAAAAGGACAGAAAAAGAAATATATGATTGTTCTTTCTGGGTACTTTAGTATTCCTCTCATCTCATCTGTTCAATAGAAAGACTGCTTTACCTCTAAAACATTTCCACATTTTCCATTTTTGTCTTAGGGGAGATTATTTGCCAGTAATAGGCTGGGGATGTCTTCTAGCAGCTCCGACAAAAAAAGCTAGAAAATGTCTCCAAAATCCAAACTCCTGAAACATAGGGGACATGTAATATAGATATGATGGGTTTCAAATGGAACACATGGGGGAACCATTTCATGAATGTTACTATATTCAATGTATATGTTACTAATAATGTTCTTTTGGCTAATTTCAATGTTCTCCATTATTTGTCAATTGTAACAGGCTCGCGAGAAGTTTCTGTCACTCAGGAAAGGCACGAAAATGGATGTTGCTACAGTCTTGGAGGAGGTATTATCCAATATTAATTCTCTCTCAATTGAATAAAAAGGAGCATCCATTCTGGGAATATGATGATGTTGTTTTTCATTGTGAGGTTCTTCATTCTTTGAATGCTGATTTAGTTTAGGGATATTTCAGGAACTTCACAATGCAAGGTCTTCATTTGAACAAGCTCGCTTTAATCTGGTAAGTGAACGTCTGTCACTGTTCTATTATGATATCCGGTACCCTTCTTTCTTCAAGGGTTTCATATTTAGACATATGCCATGATGGCTAGTGTGCTTTCCTTAATTTGATAGTTCCTTCTTTATCTAGGTCACTGCTCTCTCTAATGTTGAGGCAAAAAAGAGATTTGAATTTTTGGAGGCTGTTAGTGGGACAATGGATGCTCATCTTCGATACTTCAAACAAGTAGATAACCTGGTGGCAGTTATTGTCTTTCTCATTGTAATGCATTGCTTATATTCTGCTTCTGAACCTTTTTGTCTTGGACTTAAATGCAGGGTTATGAGCTACTGCATCAGATGGAGCCATATATAAACCAGGTTTATTCTTTATTTGGCAATGATTTGGTGGAAATATTTTAGAGATATTAATGGGCCTTAGTTCTTCCTATTTATTTGTCCTTTTAATAGACTTTATTTCAGAGTTAGTGGACCTTATTTATTTGTTTACTCAGAAATTGAGTGCAAGCCTTTTCGTTTCTTCACCTTCTGAACTAAAGGATACCTTGGCTCTAAGTTTTGTTTTATATTTATATGAATATATAATATAATGGAACGCGTATACCATTGAAATTCATAATTGGTAGTTTAGAACCCAACTAGCTTAATTATTGGCATGAACTTTGCTAGTTATCTAAATTGTGGAATGACAATGGGGCTACTGCATCTAACACAAATTGAAGCATACAATGATCCTTTTGGAAAATGGAAGCAGCTTAGTTCCACTGCTGTAGCTAAGAATTGCCATATTGAATTGACACACTGTCTGTTCTGTCATTTCTCCTGAAAGTGCAACACAACTCATTCTCACCATCAGTGCACGTAAAACCCACTTTTTTCCGTTCTTTCTTTGTTTCTCCTTTTCCTTTTGTTTTTTGGTTTTTAGGGTGTTCTCAGTTATTGCATCTTTAGACACTTTTTCCCCTCAAGGAAGTTGTTGGTTAAAACTCTTGGGTTGAACAATCTTCCTAGGTTATTCATTATGCTCAAAATTCTGATATTCTAACATCTGATTTGATTTTTGAGAAAAAGAACGTATAATTTCATTAACAAACAAAAAACATGGACAACAATCCACTGTGCATAGGGGTATACGCAGCCGATGCCCATACACCCTGCTTTATAAAAAGATTATCATACACAAAAAAGGAATTGAAATTTCTCTCCCTAAATAGTTGTTCATAGCCAGCCAGGAAAACCATTTCCCCAAGATTTTCTGGTATACTGTGTCTACCGAGCTGCTTTTATTTTTGAAAATCCTTGTATTTCTCTCCTATACACACCAAAAAACTTCTGCAGGAGCAATATTCCACGCCACCTTCCCCCTCTTAGTTTTAGGCCTTCAATTCTCCAGCATTGTATAAAATCCACCACTGATTTTGGAATGCAAGTTTTCACCTCGAATAATTTCCATATTCTTGACCAGTTCTCATTGGAAAATTTACAATGTAACATCAGATGGTTAACTGATTCAACATTCTTGTCACATAAAACACTATTGGTGGACTACAGATGCATGCCCCTCCTGGTCAAGTTATCCCTGGTTGAAATTCTGTTTAGATAGGTGGTCCAAAAAATGAAAGCTACCTTTGAAGGGACATTCTTACACCAAACATTGTTTACTGGAATGGCCTGATCCTCTGATCTGGAAATGTAATTATAGAAAGACTTGACAGTAAAAGTTCCAGATTTATCCCACTCCCACATTCTTCTGTCATTGCTCCCTATCTCCACCTCAGTGCTATGTAAATTTTTGTAGCATTTCCACCATTGCCTCCACTTCCCGGTCATTTAGGTTTCTTCTAAATTGAGGATTCCAAACCACATTCCCATTCTGTACCTGCAGGTAGTCAGCCACCGAAGCTTTTTTGTTCAGCACCAACTCAAACAGGATAGGGAAAGATTCTTTCAAAGGTCTGCCGTCACACCAAGAGTCTCTCCAGATCCAGAATTTTACCCGATGGTCTTCTCCAATCTTGAACCTTACTCCCTTTATGAAAGGATCATAGGCTTTCCTGATACCCCTCCAAACAGAGCACCCGCAAGACTGATTAGACACCCCTGACTCCCATCTCGCAGGGCTCTATATCTGGCAATTGCCACCCTTTTCCGTAAGCCTCTTTGGCTCTCTCACCAAACCTCCAAAACCACTTTTCCAGAAGGCTGTGTTAACACCCTTCACTCTCCATACACCCAATTCCCCTTGAAGTTTAGATTTGCATACCTTTTTCCAATTTACCAAGTTGTATTTCTTCTCATCCTTCCAACCTCCCAATAAAAATCTAATTTGGTTGTTGCATTTCTTTTTCTTGATCTAGTAAGTTGGTATATTAGACCAAGTGAGATTGTGTGTGTGTATCATTGTATTCCAGGATTGTTAATATTTAAGGTATTTTGGTGTTGTGAAGGTTTTAACTTATGCACAACAATCAAGAGAAAGGTCCAACTATGAACAGGCTGCGCTTACTGAAAGGATGCAAGAATACAAGAGGCAGATTGATCGGGAAAGTCGGTGGTCTTCTAATGGCTCACAAGGCTCTCCTAATGGAGATGGTATACAAGCTATTGGTAGAAGTTCACACAAAATGATAGAGGCAGTCATGCAATCTGCTGCAAAGGGAAAGGTATCTTAAAAGAACTCTTGAACTATTAAGGCACTCTCAATTCAAAATCACAAGAAATGCTGTTTTCATCTCTCTCTCTCTCTGTATATATATATATATATATATGTATATGTATGTGTATGTATGTATATACATATATATATCCACTTTCATACCTAACATGATATGCCATACATGATATTGTAGGTTCAAACAATTCGACAAGGTTACCTTTCAAAACGCTCTTCAAACCTGAGAGGTGACTGGAAAAGAAGGTTTTTTGTTCTTGATAGTCGTGGAATGCTGTACTACTATCGCAAGCAATGGACTAAGCCATCTGTGAGTAGCTGGAATATATTTTGGGATTTGAAGCACTTAAACTTTTTCTCCTTGAGATCTATTTCTGCTTTTGAAGGTTGATTCCATATATTGTTTTAGGGAGCTGGTGGTCAGCTCTCCAGTCAGCGAAATCATAATTCCTCCGAACTGGGTTCTGGACTGCTGAGTCGTTGGCTTTCTAATCATTACCATGGGGGGGTGCATGATGAGAAGTCAGTGGCCCATCACACTGTGAACCTGTTAACATCAACAATTAAAGTTGATGCAGACCAGTCAGATTTGAGGTTTTGCTTCAGGATTATTTCACCATCAAAGAACTACACTTTGCAGGTATAAATTTAGAGGTTAGACATGAATATGCAGATTTATTATTTATCTTGATAAAGAGTATGTATGTTTATTATTGATATCTATTTATCTCATCAATTATAACACCTCCAAGGTCAGACATGAATATGCAGATTTATTATTTATCTTGATAAAGAGTATGTATGTTTATTATTGATATCTATTTATCTCACCAATTATAACACCTCCAAGATCTTTTTGCATTACAAATTTGTTTAGTATATATTCTAGGTTCCAAGTTTATATTTAGTGATTGCTCATAAATACAGGCAGAGAGTGCAATGGATCAGATGGACTGGATTGAAAAGATAACTGGAGTTATTGCTTCGCTGCTAAGTTCCCAGACACCTGAACAGGCAAGTATTAAAAATGGCAATATTACTATGCCCCGTAAATGTTTACTCTTTGTACATTAATCATTTTAACTGTAAATATGAATTGTGTTTTAGCCTCTCCCTGCTAGTCCCATGGGCAGTGGTCATCATCGATCTGCCAGTGAAAGTAGTTCATTTGAAAGTTCGTCCGATTTTGATCATTCTGCAATTGATGAATACACTGCTGAAAGGAATTTATTCACTGGACATCATGAACGGATATCTAGAAGTTCTCAGCAGCAACGACTCAGTGTAAAGAATGAGAAGCCAATTGAAGTGCTAAGAAGAGTATGTGGCAATGATAAATGTGCTGATTGTGGTGCTCCTGATCCAGATTGGGCATCTCTAAACCTTGGTGTTCTTGTTTGCATTGAGTGTTCTGGTGTTCATCGTAATCTGGGTGTGCATATATCAAAGGTTAGTTGGAACTTTTTGCCATATCTATATCTGTATTTATCTGATTTTGTTGTCTCTGTATCAAATTGCATTTATCTTCAAATGATGTGTTGGGAACTTGTTCAAGAGATGGTAATTAGTTATATTCATATGTGAGTTTACAAATACCAGTTTGCTGCTAACTTGCTTTTGTTTTTCATTTACCTTTAAATTTTGTTTTAATTATTGTAGGACAATCACTAATTATGGTCATTTTTGTGTTGGAAAGGTGGATATGTCTATCGTCAACTTTTTAGTTTTCATTTTATTTTCTCCTTGA